TTTGTGGCGGCCGAAGGTTACGACGGACCGCCCGTTTTTGACGAGGAGCCGGAGGTAGTCGAGGAGCATCTTACCGGCGACGTCGGTAGGGCCCTTGTTCTTCGTCGGTCATGTTTGGCACCTCGGGCTTCGATCGACGAGTCGGTGCAGCGGTACCAAATTTTCGAGTCTCCTTGCATCGTGGGCTCGCATGCTTTCTTTACTGAGAAGACCTGTGAACTTGACGTGCCCGGGTTATCCGATGGACCCCCGGTTTTCGATGAGGAACCGGAGGAGGTTGTGGCCAACCTTGCCGGTGACGTCGAGATGGCTCTTGTTCCTCGGCGTTTATGTTTGACGCACCGGGCTTCGACTTTGGATTATGGTTTGTTTGTGACAGACAGTCTAGTTGATCTTTATTACAAGTGTGGGAACATTGACTCTACTGTTATGGCATTCAGGGTAAGTCCTTACAGAAACATAGTATATTGGATTTCTCTGCTATCTGGATTTGTTCATAATGGGAAGCATGCAGAAGCATTGGCATTGTTTTCTTTCATTGTTGATACTGTTGATGAGGTCACTTTAGCGAACCTGCTTGCCACGTGCAAGGTCTCGGGAAATCTACATCAACGTAAATCGATTCACGCTAGAGTAATTCATGGATATTCACAGTCGAATAATTTGGTCGTGAATTCATTGTTTGATGCATACTTCACGTGTCATGCGGAAACTACACTTGCTTTTGTGGAAGAGAACAATTTCTCTAATCTGGCAAAAACTTTACCCGGGGATATTGGTCAATGGCAGCCTGGTGGGAGCTTGAAGATTGTTGATCGCAACAAGAATAGTTTTCAACACTCACAAGTAGAATATGTTGCAGTGGATAATTTCGAGGATGTCTATGGTCTGGTTTCTGATATTGTCTCGATATGGGTTTATGGGAACAGTTTTGAGGTCTTTCTTGTTGTTATTAATCCACCCAAACATGCAATGGAGCAACGGGCAGCACAAACTTTTTTTGTTGCTAATATTAATCCCAACACGCAAGAAGTGGAACAATGGGCAACACAAATTAGTGTGACTGGGGACTTCAATGCCCTCTGTGAAATTGCCAATGTGAGGAAATATTTTATTGAGCTCACAAGGATTGCAAAAGACAAGAAGTTGAAAGGTTTTGATTTTATTAAAGTTGTACACGTGGAGACGAGACCATTTCGAATTCGCGGCCGAATTCTTCTCAACCGGGGGAGGATGATGAAGACGAGATTGACGAGCTATTCTTGGAAAAATATGATCGTCTGCCAACTTAGCATAATTATTTATTTCATTTGCTATGTTTATTATTACTCTTATTTAGTTAAGGAGGGTAGTTATTTTTTAATTGGTAATTGCTTGTTAAGTAAGTTAGGTCTTTAGGGTGTGTGGGACTCTATTTATTGTTGATCGCTTCTCTTAGAAGATCGGTTGTTGATCAAAGAATACAGAAAATTTGAGATTTCATTCTCTACTTCCCTTTCGTCTACAACGCTCTACATCAGAGGGTTATCAAATTTCAATCATTTTCATTCACAATTATCGTACCAGAATTTATGCTTGATGATATGCAAATTGTCGTCAATGCTTGATGATATGCAAATTGTCCTTGGACCGGGTTAAACCGGCATCACCACGAACGATCTTCTATCTCAAGCTCCGGTGACCTGAAATACGCAGAGGAGGGTCTCCATCAAAAAAACCCCTGACGCTCAAATCGGTAGTCACGCGTGAGAATAATGAGAAAACTGTATACTTGTATGCGTAATAATGTGTTATCTAATAATAAAACTTGATCACATTTTTATATACTTGGATGTCTAGTTGTCCAAGTAGAGTCTCGGCTAGAAAAGAAATTCATCCGTATCAACTTTCCTAGTTTATCAACTTATCAGTTTTTTGTAATCTTAGACTCCTTAACTATATACACTTTCCATCCTTAAAGGTCTTTGTCCCCTCTTACCGTACGACACTTAGGCCCTTAATTTGCCTAAGTGACCTCGCAACCTGCTAGCTACGAGCTCTAACCAGGTCGTAACCACAACCTCTACCCTCATGATCTTCAGGTCATGAGGTCTCCCTACCTATCCGAGCTCATGGAGGATCCTGATCTCCAAGTCTTCTTATCAGGTCGACTTGTACTTTTATCTACCTAAGCGAGCTCCTTGACGAAGCAAAATGATGATACCAAGCTTAAGCTTCTCTGGACCGGCCATACCTGAGCTAACAACTTAGGTCGGTCCACCAAGTTATTTTGAATGCTATAAATATAATTATGAATGAAATTTTAGTATCTGTACGGTTTACTCACTTGGGGAGAAGTCATGGTTGGTACTTGGTAATTTGAGCGATATGACGTTGAACGAATTTCTTCTTTCACACAAAACATAATCATGCGAGTAAGTTTAATTTATAAAATCGTCACAGAAAACCAAAACAACAACAAAAACACAATGTTCTTAATTAAACAGTAGGATGGAAGAAGAAGATATCAGGTTTGATAAACTTATATTCTGATTATCTTTTTTCGCATGTGAAAAGCTGATTCGAAACGTATTCAAACCTACAAAAGCCTTATTCTTCCATCCACTAGGAAACCAAAGGAAAACATCCCAGACTTGGGACACTTTATTTTCTGTTTTATTACAAGTATAGAGATTAACAAGTTTCAATTTCAGATATGTCACAGTTGCAGAGATCAACAAGGTCCAGGTTCAGTTTTAGTTTAAATTATTTATCTCTTGCAAACCACTCCACGCCCGTCGAGCCCGCTCTCGCACCTCAAACTTGTGTACCCGAAATCATTCGAATCAACCGACTCCATGCCCTTGAACCTGGCAACAGCACAATCGGTTGAAAAGATACCCGAAGTAGCAAATTCCACATTTCCCCCCAAAACCGGCATGTCTACACCCATCTTCACCCTACTCACGTAATCCTTTGCGTATGTCTGCCCCAGAACCCCGCTGACATCATCACTCAACGAGTAAAACTTGAAACCCAAGTCGAGATGTGCAAAGCAGTCCTCGCTCGTGATCCCGTAGTTGTGGACTCTCGACTCCTTCTCTGTAATAGGCACGACCGAGGCCTTTATTTGGAAATTGCCTTCGACCTCGACCATGACTGCATTGGTATCGCGCGATCGTGTAATAACTACGTTATTTGGCGATGAGTTTGATTCCCATTTTGCCCCTTCCTGCTCGGGCAGCAAGATGGATGTCCCATCGTATGAGACAATGAGGCGGTCGATTGTATCGTCCCAGGTGGCCGTTTTTTTGGCGCCTATGAGGATTTTGTGTGTCCGGAAGAGGATACCAAGGGATTGGACCCAAGTAAAGTCACGGCCCATGTCGTGGTTTCTTTTCCCTATCAAATGTGCGTTGATGTGTAGGTTTGTGTCGGAGACGATGCAGAAGTCTTTGTCCTTTTGGCCGTGGAAGTAGAAAGTGATGCCATCGGCTCCTATGAATCTCGGGTCTTGGCAAACTGCCCCGGGCCTGTTGCAGTCTGCACGCCCGACACGTTTATGCATAAAAAGAGTTAATTGTCTAGAAGAAGTCTTCCAATAAAATGATATTACATTTGTGGTAGGTTTATATTGAATAAGAAGAAAACTTACTGCACACAGGGCTGCAAGTAACACAGTCAACCTCACATGTAGTGGGACAAGTAGCAGGACAACGGTGCTCCCTGTAATAACAGCTGGGATACGATCTGTTCCTGCAACGAACTCTTCTTCCAGCGGCGGCCTCTGAACTATCCGGAGGCGGTGGGGTTGCAGTTGCCGGAAGCGTTGAGTTTGTGAGTGGCGGTGGTGGTGAGCTGGGAGTTACAACCACTGGTGATGGTGGGGGAGGAGGATGATTGTAAACTGGAAGTGAACATACAGGCTGACAGGTAGTACAATCGACAACACAGGTCCTAGGACAGGCGGCAGGGCATAGGAGGGCCTGATTGCATGTCCTACGGAAGTTGAGGTCATGGCACTTCACCTTGTGAGGCTTGACTGGACGAGGTGGAGGAGGAGGAGGAGGAGGCGGTGGAGGAGTGCACGAAGCCTGGCAAGACGAGCAGTTGGCATAGCAGTTCCGTGGGCAGGCGACAGGGCAAAAGAGATCACCCCTGTGGTAGCACTCGGGGAAGTTTCTCTTGTCCCTACATCTCACTCTCCTCGGCCTATGACTTTGAGGGACTCCTTGGCACATGCTGGCGAGCATCACCACTAATAGGCCTGATAAAAACAGTCGACCCATAATAAACTATGTAATCGAGCTTTTTGTTTCTGTTTTTAGCTTCTTTTCAAGGTTGAATGAATATGATCAATTTAAGTTGTCCTCTATTTATAGGTAGACATGCATGTCTAAATGCTGGGGGTAGTGTAGTGTGCCCTTTAATTTGGGGATTAAGTCGGTCGAGAATATTAATTTAAGGGGCCGGCCTCTTGCATGTGAAGATAACAGCTTTCACAGGTTATTATATGGGAAAGTTCATTTGGTTCTCAATTATCTCTCAAAGGTCAGCTCTCTCAAGTTTCGTTTCTACGTTAAGACCGTATAAACAATCACAACTAGTTTTGCTTTATTCTTTCCAAGTTTCTTCTGAGTTTCATGAACTTTCATGTAATGTGGTGCTCAAGCAATAATTGTTGCTTTTTTTCATTTTTGCGAAAAGGTGTTATTGGTAATCCCAAACTGGCCAAAACGAAGGTGGAAACATTGAGGACCTTTTTGTGCTTTGCAATCAAAACAAGGATGTAAAAAATAATCCACGTTTAGGAAAACATCTCCAATGTTCTAATGTTGTTGTAGAAATTTATACCTATTTATATATACTAGTAAAATGCACGTGCGATGCACGTGTAATTTTTTTTCAAAATAACATAATGATATCCTAATACAAAAAGAATAAAATAACATATTACAACTCCAACAAAAATATATAAAACCTTAGTCCTATCAATGGGGAAAAAAAAAAACTAAATAACAAGTTGCATTAGCTCTTTTATTTATTTATGCCAGATGATTCTAGCGTGGTTTCCTTTCAGTTAGATTTTGAAGTTTCCATAATAAACATTCATACCGGTTGAAACTCAATATATCAATAGTACTGCAAATTTTTTTGTTAATTCATTTAGCAAAAACGTCTTTGATCAGACTCCGACATTCCCTTTTCAATGTTATTTATTTGAAAGATAGACGAACTATATAATCTATTGTTGCAAATCATTGACTATCTTAGTTGTTCAATGATTTTATAGTTGGTCATCATAATAATTTTCACATTCATTAGGTTTGCAATATTTATGTGCCTAATAACTTTTTAGTGCTTTCATTGTCCAATTTTTTTGCATCATACATAATGCTAAAAAATGTAAGATAAAGATCATTTCTTGATTCTTCAATAATAATAAAACAAAACAAAACAACACAAAATAATTAAACAATAATAAGAAACATTGCTAAAATATTTGAAAGGAGGAGAATAACAATTATATTATATTATGATTATGATACTCTTACTCATATGTAAACTTTATTATTACGAAGTCATTATTGAAATCTACATTATGTATTACAAAGTTTTTATTTTTTAATTATTTATTTAATATTCAAAATTAATAATATACGATTATTATTAATGAGAATCAATTTCTTACGAAAATAATAAACGGTTATAAATAATGAAAATCAATTTCTTACGGAGTCCATATATTTAAACGCTTGCAACAAAAAAAGTAGTAATTTAAAAGACTTTTGCTTCTAGATATTGATATTCACATTTGTCTAAGAAAATTCAGATTTTTCTATTTTCCCCATTACATTACTGTTATTTTATTTGTTTCTTATTATATGAACTAATAATATTTTATTTGTTAAAAGAATTAGAGCACATTATATGCATTGCATCATTTTTTAACGTACTTTGTATAATTAAGTTGTTATCAAAATATCTTATTTATTAGGCTACAACTAATATAATCACACAAGATAAATAATATTTAATATTATTTATTTATAATAATAATATATTTCAAAAAAATGTATTTTTATACTGTTTATAAGATTAAAAAATTTAGGATTTTTTTATATTTTTTGATAAAATATTACATTAAGTAACTAACTCATTTGCATATTCATTCAAAATATAATCACTATGGTATTCCCTTTCATGCAGTAATTGAATAATAGTTTAACATACAACCCATTTATTTATCCTTTTAATTTTTATAGTTAATATTAGTAATAGTTGCAAGTTTACATCCATTTTATACCTTTTTTCTTATTAGTACGAATATTTCAAATATATGTAAGAAAATACACCACATATTTATCTTATGTTATTTCATACTTAATAAAATTGATTTAACCTGGATTTATAATTTATTTTATAAGATAATTTCATGTCATTTATCATTTTAAATTAGTATTGATATATATATATATATATATATAATAGAAATAATTATATTATTTTACAATATATTAGTCAAACCAAACATCAATTGGACAGAAATGAGGTGATATATTGTCTATAAAAAGGGTAACGAATAAAAAAATATTAAGTATTACAAATTTAAATAATTTAATGGTATTAAAGTAACTAAATTTCAACTAAAAAATTAAGATCAACAATTTCAACTAAAAAATTAAGATTGCTGATTTTTTTTATCATTGTATAAACTATTTTATTACTCTCTCTCCATATAGATAAATTGGTACCTACCACATGGAACTATAGCCACATAGGGTGGGAGTGAATTTCATCTCTAAATAAAAGTTCACTTTTTAAAAAATTTAGTTTCATGTACTTCTCTCGAAGCGTTAAATTATATTTTTAAATAACCAAATTACATGAAAGTAGATTCTCTAAAGTAATTGCAAACATATGTTCGCGCAAAAGACACCAATGAGATTGACAGCTTCATTTAAACATTAAAAATATTTTAATCAGCCTCTGTCATTTCATTTTCAATGTTATTTATTTGAAAGATAGACGAACTATATAATCTATTGTTTGCAAATCATTGACTATATTGGTTGTTGCAATGATTTTAGAATTGTTTATCACAATAGCTTTCACCTTCGTTCGGATTTACAATATTTATGTGCCTAATAACTTTATAATGTTTTTATTGTCCAAGTTTTTGCATCATTTCTTGATTCTTCAACACTAACAA